AGTCTAAACGGGGTGACGCGGGGACAAGTCTCTTAGCGACGTCCTTCCGCCCTAGGCAGGCTGCAGCTGGTACACCGGCTGAAGGAGCCACGGCCTCCACCTGCCGTTCCAACAGGAGCCACAGTCCAGGAGGACACGAAGTCACAGGCCTACCCTGCCGGGGTAGTGCCACCCGATCAAGAGACATCACTGGGGCAGGCACAGGACGCCAATAACAAGGAGTGACTCTGACTTGCCCGGATTCAGCATCGGTCTGTTCTCTCCCATGCAGACTTCGTAGGTCGTAGGAATGCTGTAGATTCCAGGAAGCCATTTGGCAAAATGCTGCACAGCACCCCGATCAGCACTAGATAAATGTGTGACTGCTAATGGGACACGCAGCTAGCTTGTGCACCGTGCTGAAAGAGTGCGTCCTGAGAATGCCTCGCCCAACTGGTGACCGGCGGGGCCACAGGTGTCCATCCTGGCACTTCTTCACAGTTTTATTTACGACTTGGATGAAGAGATGGAGAAAATCTGCAGATGACACACAGTTATGTAGAATAATATCTCGGGGCCCAGAAATACAATTCAAAGTAATCTTAGACTAGAAAAATGGGCTGGAAATAGCAGATTGAAACTGAACAGGGACTGCCAACATGCGAACGCACCTCCAGTGTGGAATCGGGGGCACCAGGCTTTGCAATAATACTTGGGAAAAAGATGTGCAAACTGAATACGAGCCATCGGCGAGAGACTGCTGAAAAGGCAGACGCAATTTTTGGGTGCATCAGCAGAAGTTTCCAAATCTCACACGGAAAAAAAGCTCTGGTTTGCTCTGCATTGGCCAGTGACAGCTGTGAGTGTTGGGTCCAATTAATGGGTCCAAACAGAAAAGAGGAAGGCAAGTCCCGACCGAACGTCCTAGAAGTGAGGGGAGTCCAGAGGCCCGAGACGTGGGTGGGCTCCCCTTGCGGTAATCCCGAAGCGCAGGCTGGACCCCCGTTGGTCTGGCCTCGGTCTGGATTCCTGCCCTGAGGAAGCGGCACGGTCCGGCTTTGTGAGCGTAATTCCTCCTGCAGAGATGGTGGGAGGCGAAGTCAAGTCCCAGCCAAGCTCCCCGGGATCCTCTGCTGACCGAGAGGGGAGCCTGGCCGGGCGGGTCAGGAACGCTTGTGTCCCAGCCTAAGTGACGTTCCTGTGCCCCACGTCCGGGATGGCCCTGCGTAACGGGAGGACCAGCCTTGTTCCTCTCCTTTGAGGGGCTTGCAGAGGCAGGGGGCCCCCTCGTGCTTCCCTCGTGCACCTTTGCTTGGATAGGGTGTGGAAACAGCCCCCCCAAGTGCTGTGGGGCCCTGCTTTACAGGGACCCTCCTCCGTTTGCCGGAAGGCCTGGGCCGGGGACCCTTGCTGACTGTACAGGAAGGCAGTAGGGACTCCCAGGCCATCCGCTGCTGCACAGCAGAGGCCAGACCCTCAGGTTGGAGGGGGCTCACTGC